AAAAAAACTGTCAAGAAAAAGCTTACTTTTTTCCATTTGTAATATGAAAAACATTCCTTCTGTCTTCATGCTCTAAAGCTTGAGCAGCTACTGTTCTGTCTAATTCCATCATTGAACATCCAGCAACCTACAGGGGAGATATAAAACAGATAACTAGTCCATTTACTGCTACAGTTCCACCTCTGAATATTCAGTACTAATATTATAATATTAATAAAACCAGTGCTCAAACTATGTTCTAAATGGAACATATAATAATTCTGGGGCTCATCCAACAGGTTTGCTGAAGGAAAAACAGCATATTTGAATTGTTGACATATTAATTTGTTAAACATCTTATTATTCATTAAAGGATATTTATTTTCTACAGTACATAAAGTATTTATGAGAAACTGTATAATCATTGTATCTACAATGGTAGTTCTACATGTGAAGTACTACTCTATTTATATTATTTCTATGAGAAGTGGCAACGAGTTAAGTTTTCTAGTTGTTAAAAAAGACATCAGGAAATATAGTATTACAAGAGCTTATGCAGAATAATCATTAAAATACTGTCTATCACAATAAAACTTAAATATAAAAAATATAGTAACAAAAACATGAAGCACAAGTTTTATCACCATATTATTTTTCAAGGCTTATTTTTCTTCTTCTAACCAAACATCTTAGCATAGTTAATCTGGTACTTTCAGTTTCTTTTATGAAATTTTAACCCAACTACTACATGAATGTGCATCAATAGTCTACTTGGGCCATTATTTAATAGTAAGGTAGTTTGACATTAGTAAAAGAAAACCAAAATGAAATATTTCCATAAAACAGATGGTGCTTAGGTCAGGATTTATCACTAGTAAAGACTAACGGATATCTCCAGTTAGTTTCTTGTTATTTACTAATAAGAACATGGGTGGGATTTGGGCCCAAAACGCTGGGGGACTGCTCCCCCCAAAATTCTGCCTATGAGTAAGATCATTTGCTAATCTATTATAAGCAGGTACTAAAGGTAAATAAATAGATGGAGTATGACTTAAAGAGCAAAAATAAAAAAAAAGAACAGAAACTTACTTCACCCTTGGAAAGGCACATGAGATGTCCTCCTAATGTATACATGTACACACGATCCCACTTGGTCACCATCCCTGCAAACTTTCTATAGGTGATATAGACAAAAGTTCTTTTTAGTGTTTATTTCACATACAAAGAAAAAAATCAAATAAAATTTAAACAGACTCACATAATTTATGTGTATTAGTTACTATAGTATGTATACTAATTCTAGTAATTTCACATAAAACTCAAACACTATAAATACGAAAACTTTGGAACAACATGGATGATGTATCACTTGAGTTCTACGTACACTCAAATTACCACTTACGTTTTATGGTACAGATATCCAGACTTCTGTGTCAAGGACGTGTTGGGTGGGATGAAAGGCATATCAGACAAAGGTTCAGCATAGTATAAATGCTGGCTTTGCTTTTCTATGGAGTCAATTAGACTCACTGCTGTTAATGTCTTATGATTTAGCTCACTCTGCACTCTGAAAACAAAACAGGTCATAAGATTTATAAATCCCCTTCCTTAGAATCAAATATTTGTACAGTAATTCTACATTATTCAATATGTATGTAATCTATGTGTACTTGATTTCTGGGCTCACCCACTTTTTTCTTTAATAAAATGACTTGATATTCTGCATGTAGGCTCTTGGTTTCCACATATTAACAAAACTTTTTTTTTGGAAAGAGACACAAGGTACCCCAAAAATGGGGGATCAAGAAAGTTCTGAGGCTCTAAGGTTCGACTAAACAGATATATTTGAAAAATGGTATTACCAAAAAAGGATTGTTCAGAACAATAACCTATATTCAGATTTTGGAAATTTTTAAAGTGGATTCCCCCATATGAGAGTCAAAGGGGTTTTGAGGAATGTCAGAACTGGATCCATGAATTTACATGAAATATGGCATAAATGTGAAAGGGATCATTGAAAATAAATATCCACATAAAAGCTGATGAGAACATATAAATGATCATTCAAAGTAAGATGTGCAAAATCTTTTAGTAAGAAACCTTTAGATTTTCTGATAAAACACACTTAAACTTAAAAACTGGAACTTATGTTTGGGAACAGAACCTCTTTTAGATATACTGGTATTGAAAACCAACTCACTCTTGAATGTTAGAAATATCCTTCAGACTTACTGCAAAACGAAACTCACTCTTGAAAATTAAGTAATACTTGATGAGATAACCTGTACAAAAAAACTTGTACACAAGAAGTAATATTTGATGAAAGAACCTGTTTCAAATTACTAATAAAACAAAACTTGTACACAAGTAATATTTGATGAAAGAACCTGTTTCAAAGTTACTAATAAAACAAAACTTGTACACAAGTAATGTTTGATGAGAGAACCTCTTTCAAAGTTACTGATAAAACAAAACTCATTCTTGTACACAAGTAATATTTGATGAGAGAATCTCTTTTAAAGTTACTGATAAAACAAAACTCACTCTTGTACACTTGCACTTATACTTGATATGAAAGTCTCCATCTCTGATGTGTTCATTGCATCATTGCCAACTGAAAAGTGAGATTTTAGAGAGCTGATATAACCAAGAAGGGGCTCAATGAGGGCTATTTTTCTCTTGTACTGCAAGGAGTTCAAGCTTGCATAATAGTGGAGAGCCATCTGGCGATGCAAAATAATGGGGTAAAAAAATTACAAGTTGCAACTTATTTCCACATTGTTTAAGTAGCCTAAAATATCTTAAAACCTTAAATTATGAATAAAGACATACAAATTTCATTACATAATTTGATAATATTGTACTTTAGTGAACACAAACTAACGTATTTACCACAGCTATCAATCCAGTGTCTTGGAATGGATTTTTCTCTCTCTGATTTAAACTGAATACTTGACATGCATTCTTCAAAACCAAGTGTAGTTTGTTAACCTTCATTAGTTTAATCCAATATAAAATATATAATACATATATTAATACCCAAACTACTAAGCTAGCCCTGCTGCTTAAGAACTCACAGTGACTGAGAAAATCATTCTTAGTTTGATGGGTTAAAAAGTTTAATCAAGGTTTCACCATGTTTGTCACATGATGCAATGCCTTTAAAATTGTGTGATGTTTTCATATACAATATTTTCTAGCCTGCAACAGCTTTAAACCTATTACAATTAGTAATTCTTGTTAAATTCAATTTTCAATTAATTTGTTACTACAAGTTTTGCACAAAGAGTTTTGCTTCAGCTCCACAATAAACAAAGTTGAAAAATACTCATAAATAGGAAAGTATAGATATATATATATGTATATAGCTAATCATGTACACTACATTGTACGACAATAAATTTATTCTAACTCTTTGACCTAGTACGTAAATATAGTGATCATAATTTTGAAACAATAAAAAAACTGGAAAACAAGGACTGAAAATCCCGACATCATACCTGGTGAAACTTCTTGTTAGCAATGTATACCTCTTCATTAGTTTCTTGCCGATGTTTGTCACTCTCTCGCTTTCTTGGTACTTTACAAAACTTGGCAAAACAGTGTTCAAGTTCTAGAAAGAAGCATAATAACGTTAATCCATGTGTAAAAATACAATAAATTAACCATTAACAAAATCAATTAAACATTCATCTCTAAAGAAAGCATTTTGTAAGATCTTCAATAAACAAAGCTTTAACATATATGATACTTACAATTCTGTCACATCGAAAGTAATAATAGAGGTTTATGGAACTTCTATAGTGATTTTTACTTGCACATGTTCATTTGTGCCAATCAAAAAAGTGTCACATTGATAATATGTTTTAAACAATGGAATAATGTAAGAATAGGTTTAAGAAATGTACCTAGCTTGTGTTATTTTGTCAAATCATAGAAATTAAATATAAAGTTACAGCAACATATTATAAACTCTGGAACAATAATAAGCTCATCAATATGTACTGTTGCAACTAATATTTTCATGCTGAAAAGGGGTGCTTTAATTTGATGATTACTTTGTTATCACTTGTATGCAAGCTTCTTAGCCATTTCATCAGTTAAAAACTAATAACTGACTTCCACTGTAAAAATGTTATAAAGACAACCAGTACAGCTTTTTAAATGTTCTAGTTGTTGCAATAATGATGAACAATTAAAAACTAGCATACATTAAAGAACCACAAATCCATGAGCATTTGATGTTCCAACTTTCTTTATTAGTCAAAGGTGTAACAAATAATTTCATTATAACAATCTCAATACTTTGCCCTTACTTACAATATTTTATGACACCCCACGAAAACAACAAATTAACCAATAATGTACAAGTGCATTTCACTTTAAGCCGCCTCAATAAAAAATACACGAGGAAAGATTGAAGTTACCAAATGCACATCAAACTTAACAAAAAAAAAGCAAGTCTAAAGGTTACTTATTATCTTATAAATAATGATAAGAAAACCTATAGCTTTCAGTGATAGATGTTTCAAAAAGAGGTTACAAAAATTTTAGTATTTTGCATTATTAATTAAGAAAGCAATTTGTAAATGATTCAAGAAAACATCAATAATATATTCTTTCACAGAACTCACCATTACTAGCTATATGGAACATCTCTGCCATTGCTGAAACCTCTGTACAAGAGTAATTAGTTTGTATGAAAGCTACTGCATGATAATCACTTCAAACATTATCTATATCAAAATCAAATTTGTTCTGTTATAAATGATAAAACTAGAATTCACAGTTTATGCATTATAAAAGAAACAAATGCAAATGTAGCATTATTAAAAACACACAAAAAATTACAAATGATATACAAGTAATTATTTCACTATCTAGCTTTATTAATGTCATTTAACTTCAATTGTTCTTTCAGGAAGGGATATACTGTCTTAATGAAAAAGTTTAAGAGTACTTTAATCTCTAACAACAAGTTTTGCAGAATATTTGAATATATGTTGCTATTAACCCTATGCATCCGGCCTTGGTTCTTTTGCGCTTGTCATGTTCTTTTACAGTATTACCGTATTTACTCAAATATAATGAACACTTTTTTCCCTCCAAATACCTCCCAAAAAAAGCGACTGTGCATTATATTTGCACACATTCAATTTTGTTAGGTATTCTACAAGAAGCTAACACCGAAAAACATTAAAATTTTTAAAAAATGTTGCATATTCAATGCAATGGATGAAACGGATGATGACATGCTGTGGGAATCAGAAGAGGATGAAGCAAAGGTTCAAGGAAGCAAATCTGATGGTAGTGACAATTCTAGCGATGACGAGGATTTATGTGAAGATCAATGATTAGCTTAGTGTATTACCATGTATAAACTTTTCAATAAATTTTGTAAGATTTCCAAAAATGTTTAATACATCGATAGCTGGTTGGTTTGACATATTTATTGATATACCAAGAAATCAATAAGAAAGTAGGTTCAAATTTGAGAATCTTGCTTTTGATTATGTATAGTTTGTGTTTCTAATTGGTTGGAAGCTGTGGAGGTCTATCATTGGAGTTATAAATTCTCAAATTGAGAAATCTGAAATCAGATGTATTGCATGGCACAGAAAGATGAAGTTTGAGAATTTCTTAAATATTTCCTTTTGAAATTAAGATGTTATAACAGATAATATAAGTATTTGAAATGTAAGCTAGGTTTTCATGCGAAGCTTATTGAAACAACTTAATAATAAAGTTGTATAACGTACTATATTTGCCCGAACATAATGTGCACCCAATTTTGAAAGGTTAAATTGAGTAAAATTTGTTTTTTTACACATCAGTTGTAGAAAATGTTTTGAATAGTTTCAATCTACAGTAAACGGTTAAAAGCAATTCCTTAAGCTCTCAAGCAAAAAATCTGTTCAACTCAAATCTCACATTTCTCCTTTATTATTGGCTTTTGCCACCAAAAGTAAACAAAGATATCATAAGATTCGTGTAGAGGAGAATCTAATGGTTATAAATATGTCCATCAGCTATGTAAGGTTGGTTAACAAACAATCTTGAAATACATATTTATAGCTTACTTAGAAAGCCGTATAAATTATAGTAGATTTGGGATGATCTATCTTTGTGACTGATACATTTTTTGTGTTCTAAAATGTATAATTGAAAGCTACATGAATTCTTTTTTGGTACAAAATTAGGCTACAGCTTGAGTAAACCACACATTTAAAAGCTCTGGTTGATGCATATGATGTTTGATAGGTGGAAATAGTGTTCAGTTTGCTACTGGTTCTGGCAGAGATGTGGCTTATCTAACCAAGGTATATGTAATTATTTAGAAAATAAGCTTACTTCAACTATTATATCTGTAGGAGAAATCTAATCTGAAAACATAAAACTGTATAAATGAAAATTTCCTTTTTTTATCTGAGCATGATCAATAACCTAAGTTTTATATTTCAAACAAAGTGCATTTTAAAAAAGAAAGTGATTTGTAATTATGATAGATTTGCAATTTACAAAACTGTGTTTATCATGACAATCCGAGATATTAATCAACTTGGAAAAAAAAAATTATTACAGTTGTACTGTTTTTCTCAACCAAAAATGAACTCCTATTCAAAATGAAAGAATGAATGTAATTTTATAAATGCTAGAGAGCTACTTGAAAGAAATAGGATAAAAATAGCTACTCAAATAACTGATTTTCTCTTTAAACAATAATTTATTAGGTTTTAATCTTAATATCGAAGAAAGGTTTTTTTTATTGAAAGTTATGGAAATAAAATTAGTTTTATTTTATTGTAAATAAAACTGGGAATAAGTAAAAATATAATAACTTTTGGTATTTTACTGGATACACTTAAAGAAGATAGTTTTTTCAACTGTTTATTCTAATTCATTAAAGAGCATGATTAATTTAAATAATAGTTCATGTCCAAAGTTGATTTAGAGTTTCACAAATGTATTTCATACAAACCTGTGAGATCAGCTTCAATGAATCTATTCAATGGAAACATCATTCCATCTGTTAGCTGGGTTGCACACATTTGTTGCCAAGAGCTGATCTGCAGTAGTCAGAATTATAAATTACATAACATATCTATAAAACACTTGAAGTATTAATAATGGTGTACTGTCTTTCGGATTTTATCTGACCTAAACATATTTGATACATTTTAACTTGTGCCTTTCTTACTGCTAAAATCTTAAATTGCTTAACAGACAAGATATTAACATACTGTTTTCTAATCTAACAGAAATGACTGGAGAAGTAAAGCTACAAATACCAGGTGATTCTGAAACTGATTAGTGAAGAGAAGTAAGTTATACTCCAAGGGCAGTAGAAGGCATAACGGGAGATGGTAATTGGCCAGTGATAATGTCTGGATATAAATGTGATCCATATTAACCCATTAAAAACCACACCATGTTCTGCAAGGCTAAATATCTTCAAATTTGGTGCACTTTCATGTTTTGTGTTTCTGATTAGCTGTTCCAAATAATATTTTCATAGCTTGATTTCTAGAAATGACTACATATGTGGTCATTGGTCAAATTTGTGTATAAACTAAAGATAAAAAAAGTAAATTTAATGCACCACTTATCATGTTGTTATATTGAAAAAAACTATTACATCTTGTAATAATATAGTAAGTTCCACTGATCAATGTTTTCAACAGTTCTCATTTTTGTCCTTCAGGTTATACAAGAATCTACTTTTCATGAAAAATCTGGAAGCACCCTGAGAGGGTGGAAGGTCTTGGAGATGACTGCTTTATCATGATTTGAACAAGTGTTCCCCAGAAATCCTTCTGACTAACACTTTTGCAGCTTGAAATCTGGAATAAGTGCCAGCAGTACATAAAACAAAGGTTCAAAGCATTTACCATTAGAGGCCAGTACCACTTTTTCCTTTAAAGTGTGGCTGTAATTCTGACAAGGTGCGATCTACTAGATCAACTCTTCCCATTCCAGCATTGTAGTACTTAACCGTGGCTGGTTGTGATACAGTTACTTGGTCCTTGCCTCGAACTTCAACTCTTCCCATTCCAGCATTGTAGTACTTAACCATGGCTGGTTGTGATACAGTTACTTGGTCCTTGCCTCGAACTTCAACTCTTCCCATTCCAGTATTGTAGTACTTAACCATGGCTGGTTGTGTTACAGTTACTTGGTCCTTGCCTCGAACTCAGAGCTTGGCTTGGGCAATAGGTTCTACTCTCACAGCATTGCTACATAATGTAACAACCAAGTTATCATTCCAGCAGTAATTTCAACCCTTATTTGATGAATGACTATATATGTTGTCTTTCATAAAAAGCTGCCTGGATAATTACTTCTTTAATCTCAATATTTTGATACAATATGTTTCTTAAATAAATGCCGACTATAAAAATGATCAAAACAAGTTCCTTTAGTGAAACCATGCTGGCTCTTTGACACTATATCAAACTGCTTTAAGTGACTCTGCAATGTATCTTTAATCACACTCTGCAAAACCTTTCCAACTATTGATGTAAGACTAACTGGCCTATAATTACCTAGACAATGTTTATCACCTAATTTAAATATTGGACTAATGTTAGCCAACTTCCAATCTTCTAATACTCATCCACTACTCAATGACCTATAAATAATATTAGCTAGCGGTTCACAAATAAAATCTTTAAGTTCATTTAAAACTCTAGGATAAAAGTTCTCTGGTCCAGGGGATTTATAAATTTTTAGGTTCCCAACTTTTCTCTTACAATTTCAGAACTTAAAATAATATCTTTTACATCAATATTTTCCCATACATTAAGTGCTATGATTGAGGCATAATACTAGTATCTTCCTTCATAAAACCTGAAGAGAACATATAATGTAATAAGTTTACCATCTCATAATATTCTGAGATCAGCTCCCCACTATCATTTTTAAGAGGCCCAATCACCATCCTAACATTTTGCTTACACATCATATACCTAAAGAATTCCTTATTGTTTGATTTAACTTTCTCACCCAACCCTCTTTCATATACAATTTTTACCCTTTTAACTTCCTTTTTAACCAGTTCTCTTGATTTCCCATAGTCCTCCAAGTCCTTATTATTTCCAGTAAGTTTAAATTTCTTGAATTTATTATTTTTATAACTAATATGATCTCTTAAACCTTTACTAAACCATACTGGCTTATTCCGCTCCATTGCCCTTTTTTTTCTGTATGGAATATGTATGCACATCAATCCTCCCTAAATGCTTCTCACATCTGTTCAAGGTCCCCTCCCAACTCTCTGGTGCAATCTACAGAAGCTAGATCATGTTTCATTCCATCGAAATTGGCTTTCCTAAAAATATGGAATCAGGGTACTATTCTTCCTCAATTCTACATGTAATAAAATCCCAAACCTAATAGTGCAATGGTTGCTTGTACTTAAATGTTCACCAACCACAACTCTATCATATTCACATCAGATGCTAATTTTAAATCTAATATAGCTTCCTCTCTTGTAGGTTCCATCACCAGTTTGTGTATAAAAGTATCCTGAACAATTTTCAAGAACCTATCCCCCTCACTGTCAGACTCAAAAATTTCCCAATCAAAACCCCTGAAATGAAAATCCCACAAAATAGCAACATCTTTTTCAGCTACCATTCTGATCTCATTATACAATTTCTCATCAACTTCCACATTCTGGCCTAGTGTTCTATAACAAATCCCAATTACAAGACTTTTCTCTTTATACCCACTAACACAAACTGATTCAACCTCAGTGCTGTTTTCTCTAACTCAACAGAATGCAATTCATTCCTCACATATAAAGCTGCTCTCCCCTTTTTTTTTCAATACTCTATCTCTAGTAAATAATCTGTAGCCTTGTATTTCAAAAAAATTTCTCTCATCAAAATTGTTCAAATCCAACCAAGTCTCAGTGATACCCATAATATCAAAATCCTCAGTTTCCACAACTGCTTTGAACTCATAAATTTTACTTCTAATACTGCTAGTATTACAATAGTAACGATTACCCATAGATTTTAAAATACGTTCACGTTTTATGCCTGTTGTACATGTTTTCCTGTCAATTATATTTCCTATTTTACTAATATGATAGCCCTCACCTCTGTCTAGCCCTAGTTTAAATCTACCACTACAGCTGAGTTAATAGCCCTTGCTAACATGCTAGCCAATGCCTCGTTTAAATGTAAGCCATCCATTCCAAAAAAATTAACTTTCCCATTAAAATTATTTCACAAATCCAAACAGCGTATTTGCTCATCCCTACATATTGATCTAAGCCTGGCATTCAATCCTAGTGATCTATTTAGTGTCTCATCCCCACAATATATTCTTAGCAATATCCCTGAGAAAATCAAACTATGACCATTTTCCTTAAATGCCCTTATCAATAAGCTGAGAAAAGATAATAGTCTTTAAAATGCATGCATATGTATTCATTGGTCTAACTTGGGTTAAGAATTAGAAATAGCTATTTAATGTTCTGATCTAACAAATGTATTGTCACAGCAGTTTTTTTTGCCATAAATTTGCACTGTTAATCTTTGGTTTTACTTAATCAGTTCCAAACACAAACTTCTTGAAATTAGAAATCTAAACAAGTTTAAAGAACAACTGAAAAGGACATGGGAACACATCGTGCTAGCTGCAACATGGTAACACATCCCATTAGCTAAAACATGAAAATGTTGTTCAAGTATGTGTTTTTTTATAATAAAGTCACATCGGGCTATCTGCTGTGTCCACCAAGGGGAATAGAACCCCTGATTTTAGCGTTGTAAATCTGAAGACTTGCCGCTGGCCCACCGGGGGATAAATGTTATTCAAAGACAAAGAACTTGAATACAGTATTGCTGTATTTAATTTCTTCTATGTGTTATAGATATATTCAACAAAGCTATAGTAACATAACATGGTTGTGTTCTGTTTAATAGTTACCATGTATGTGCAATAAACTAAAATTCCTAACACAGTTAACTTACTATTCAGAATATGATCAATTGTCATTAAAAAAAATCAACATATGACTATATTTTAAATCAATCAAAGAATTAATAACCCCACCTACCTTTCAACTACTTTAAAAACAGGCTAAGAATTGCTCTTAGGAATTTCAAAATAATGGGATGGGTAAATTTAACATAATCTTAGATGTGTTTTATTTGTACAAAAAATATTAGACATACAAACTTACCTCATCAAGAGTGGAAACAAAATGCTGTAATATAGAACTCAAAATGCTGTCTGGATCTGTATCAAGGTAAAACCCCTAAAAAAAAGAAAGAAAATAACAAAGATTAATTTAACATACAATGTAACACTCAAACTAGAGAACAAGATCAGAAGTTGTTGTTTATTGAAATTGGTTTATTTAGTCTGTTACAAATTATTAGAATTAAACTGATATTCAAGCCCACCAGTGCATCATCAGAGACTAAAAGAGCCATTATAATCAAACTGAAAAGAAACTTCTTGTTTAAATCCACACAGATTTATTCTGGAGCACATCATTACAAACTTAAAAAACTTACAATTAAACTAAAAATATGCTTTTTATTCAAACCCGCAAATTCATTCTTGAGTACGGCATCAAAAACCCAAAAAAATATTACAATCAAATTAAAAATACAGCTTATGTTCAAACCCACACAAATGTATTCTAAAGTACATCATCATAGACTAAAAACACATTAAAATCAAACTAAACATACATTTTTTGTTCAAACCAAACAAACATATTTTGAAGTTCATAACTATACATTTAAAAAGAAAAAGAAAAAAAAGGGGGGGGGGAATTGCAAAAACAAACTGTAAAGTTACTGTATATCCAAACCCACAAGTTCTGTGGGTGGAAATCGGTTAAAGATCTCGTGAAGGTTCAGTGGTAAAAAAAAATCAATATCTCAGCAAACTCAGACACATGTTACCTAAAATAATCTTAAAATGAAGAATATTACCCTGGCCAGAAATCCTAAACCACAAAATAGTCAATAATGTTATATCAGATAAACTTAATCATATAATAGGAAGTAACTAGTACCTCTACAAGAGGATGTATTTTTCAAATAAAAATATGTAATGAAATAAAATACTACAAAAAGAAACAGGAATAAAGTTTTACACAAACACCCATACAAACAGATATTTAAGTAAAAGATAAACTGATACAAGACACAACTAGTTTAACTAAATGTGTACATTCGAGCCATACCTGTGCCTTGTAACTTCTCACATGGTCTGCAAGGCCACTTGTAGCACTGGCCAACTCTTTCTATTAGGAAAGAATGTAATGGTTTATTAAGCCTAATTATTTTCAACCATTTACTGACAAAGTTAAAATTTCTTTAATCACATACTTACTGATCTGAGTACACAATTTTCTTACAAAGTTAACTTACATATATGGATCATATATACAATTTTGAAATGAAAACAAATATTGGCAGGATTCTTTACCTTTAAAACATAAGTATTTCTTTTTTGTTTATAACAAATTAACTAATGAAATATACTTGACAAGATTTTGTTTCTTGTGATAAATGTTTTTGTTTTTTCCCCTTTTATTTCAATTTATTCTAGCTATGTTTATTTCAAGTGTATCTAGTTATAAGTTGTACATTAGACATTATTGTAATTTATTTGCCTTTGATATAGCATGGTCGGTGAGGATTTCCCACATAATGTAAAGAAGTGTTTTGTTGAATGTTCAAGGTTGCCATGGAACTAAAATGTAGTACAACAGAGAGTTTGATAGTCAGCAATCCAACAGTTTGCCTTGAGAAGACTTAAACAGTTTTTACATGCAGAGAGTTGTTCATTTATAATTTATTGCATAACCAATTAACTACATATGCTTGTATTTAGCCACATTGTATCTTCGTTTTTGTTTTAAAAAAATGCATAAAAGGAAATATGTCATTATACTGAAATTTCAGAATCATATGTTTCTTGGTAAAGTTAAACTGAACACTGGTATCATATGAAGAAATATTCATAGCTGCAGATCATACAGAGGAGAAAGTCTTATAACTGAGGTTGGATTCAGCAAATAAACTTAACTGAGTAAACTTAAAATTAAAGTATAAGTAAAGCAAAGTCTGCTACATATGTCAGAAAACACAATCGATAAATATTTACAAGCTCAAAGAACACAGAGAAACAAGCAACACAAACACTGGTAATACAGAACAGTTAAAATTATAATAGACATGCACAATAACATTAAAGTAAAACAACTCATGGCTAACAGATAAATTTAACTGTAGTCCAGGTAGAAAATGCAAAGTAATGAATTATAATAAACATCACAAAAGAGTGGGATCTACAGAAGAAAAATCTATGGTAAATCAGAGTTAGTTGGATGTATCTACCAAGACATATGTCATCTTTTGTGGTGTAGAAGTTTCTGTTGCTTATTAAATCTCATTATAGAAACAGGATGTACAGTGCAAACTTTAATTACATGTATAAAGCATGTGTACAGTATTTTAATTATGTTTTTATTTCACAAACCTGATCGACACCTTAATAATAAATGGTAAGGTATATTAACTAGGGCTGATACATTACGTATCTAGATACAGAAGTTTTACTAATGGTTTATTACAGTTTGACAGTCTTGACAATACAATTTAATTAGAAACAGATGTACAATGTTAAGAGCTTTAAGTTATTTATTGTAAACAAATATAGTTTCTTGCTACAATTTGAAGTAATTCTAAAAAGAAAAAAGATAAGTTTCATATATTTTGTATTTTTATGGTGGTTATGAGGCCGGTCAAATTGACCGACTTCACATAAAATTAGGGTAGTAAATATAGCAGTTAGAATATGAAGATTTATTGAAAAAAAGGTTGGAAATTTATTTCAGAGGTTTTAGAGATTACAAAAGAGAAATTTGTTAATTTTTAGATGGAGAGAGATATTTTTAATTTTAACATAGAAATCAATTTACACTTGAAGCAGTGACTACTTTGACTCGATATATTAAAAACATTAATTTTTAGCAAAAAATACTTTATTAGAAATTCTGAATTTTTTCTGTACAAAAGACATAACATTCACTGAAAGCTTGCCAAATTTTGTGAAGATACATAAATAGTATCGTATCGGATGATATATCAATACAATCATATCATGGCTTCACGATACGACACTCGTATCGTATTGCTGTATCGTCACCCTCCTATTATTAACCAAAGCATGCGACTAATTGTAAATACTTCCTGTCTAGAAATAACATGAAGCTATAAATAAAATATATGTAATTGCCACAGCTATACAACCTGTTTCAAAATATAAACATTAAAGATGTCCATTTATTCATACTCTTGTGGATCTAGTTGTGAAAAATTAGTTACAAAGTGAGACTGTCAAGTGGGAACAAACCTGGGCATTCAGCACTTTCTCACAATGTCCATAGAGGCTTTCAATGTATTTTTTCAGCAACTGACTATCCTGTTCAAACAATGACACCATGGACCTAGTCTAAAAAAAAAGAACAAGTACATACAAGTTTAATAATAACAATACTACTACTACTAATTAATCTGATTACACCTGTGAATGAATACACTAAGTGCAAGACAAATATGTGAAATCCTACAACCTAAGCAATTTTGAAAGGTGGACATTTAGTTTCTGATGGAGAAAGAGCCATCTACTGAAAGCCCTCAGATTAAGGATTTCATATTTTTGTTTTTGACTTTTGAGACCATACATGTTTTCTTAACACTATGAATACACTATATGTATGTATACAACGATGTATTTTCTATGATCACTATGAATATCAAAACTGACACATAAAGAAGTAATGAGGTCCAAGTGTTACACATCAATGTAAAATCAAAACCTATTACCTAATTATTGGTCTAATACATGTAATACTTGGTATATATTTTTGATGCAAGTGTATCTGAGTATCTCCCTAAGAAATGACAAAAAGTACAAAGTGAAATTTAAATGATACAGTGTATATATATATACTGCATATACAATACACATTTCTTCCTTTTTTTTTTTACCAAAAATCTCATGATTACAATGTGTCTTTCAAGAAAATGCTGAAAATAAAAAGCAACACCATTTTTTTGAAATATAGTTTATACAATTCTTAAAGAAAATGTGGTCAAAACAAGCGTAAATCAATTGAACAAGAATCTGATATTTTCTGACCTACTCATTTTTCTAGTTTATAAAGATTCCTATGGTTATTCTGAATAAAAAAAACTATCTATCAGTTAGAATTCATTTCTGAGACATTTTGTGATATTTCATGCATGTTTGTTTTAAACATAACTACCTTTTAGTGATTTATCTTGATTTGGCAATCACTCTATGATTCAACAAGTACTTTCCTTTTTTTATGTTATTAGCTACAAGAAATGCAAAATTAAAAGAAAAACACATTATACTGTCACCTGTAAAAGTACAAACAAACTTGGTAAGTTTTCAAAATAACTAAATGCAAGTCAATAAATTTGTTTCATTAACTTTTAATGATTCAATCTGCTCTTAAAAAATAAACAATAATAACAAAAACTTCTGTTTGACAAAATGGATAATGAAACTGTTATTATTATATCTGTTATATCTAATAGTAAAAATTTTAATTTCTAGTTCTTCCCTTACCCAAATAAATAATATACTGAACCATGAATGCTGAATTTAACAAAAAAAGCACTGGACCCTCTCACTCCAAATTTACATTCAACCCATACAATCCCTAAGTTTACTTATTTATTTATTACTACATCCTAATTACTAATCAGTTTATATCCTACGTTTTGGCTGTTAAACTGCTACCATTTTTTGGGAAGCCATGAGAAAGGTTGTATGTGGCAGCAGGAGCAAGACTGATTTCTGGGTTTTCTTGATATAAAGGCAGATGTAATATACATTTATTCAGGCTCTCACCCATTAGGGACTTGAATCAATAAATTATACAAATGGTTTCAGGAGAGTGTTTCCAAGTTTTTGACTTAATGTTGGCTAAATGAGTTACGAGTTAGGTGGATGTAGAAAGGCTTCTTTTATCTTTCTTTTTCTTTTGTGTGGTTCATATTCCATTACTTTAGTAATATTCAATTAGTAACCAATAAATATTCAGACTCTGGTGATCTTATAGGCTACTAATCTAGACAATCTTTGATTTTTATGATATTAAGAAAGCAATTAGGTTCGTAAAATCCATGTTCCTTACATGAAGATTCATTCATTTAAACAAAATCTTTTTCTAACATTATTTTCCAATTTACTCCTGTCGTACTGCACAATGGAAATTAGCCACACCTGAAACATTCCTTGGAAAGTTCAAGAAAAAACTTCCTGGTTTTCATGGTAGTTTCCTTTGCTTAACCGTGAAATCACATCGTCTCTTTTCCGACACTCTACTTCGTCATTTAAAATTATTCCTTCATGAAGAAAGGTCTACCTTTCAAAAGTGCTCAGATTATAGGATTTCTTATTTTCGTCTTTAAACTATTGGTATTCTATTGCCACAACCTTACTGTAAGTCCAGTATAACTCAAGTTATTTGAATAACAAACATTCATTCACAAAACATTAGGAAAATAAGTTACAGAGCTCAACAAGTGGATGGATTGTAAAAGCAATTTACAGAACTGACTGACTGGACAGATTTAAAAAAATAAGTTACAGAACTCACTGACCAAACAAATTGTAAAAATAAGTTACAGAATTCACTGACTGGACAGATTTTAAAAATAAATTACAGAACTTACTGACCCTTTCATAGACATGGAATACCCCAAAATCTATAGAATATGAAGCTTGAGTACAAAATCAGGTTGATATACTGAGTTTCTTATGTGTTAGAAAAAAAAACTGTCAGCATATTTCCTCACATTATGGAATGGAAAAAATGTGTAAAGACTTATTTTTAAAAATTTGTTTGGTCAATGAGTTCTGTACCTTATTTTCAAATATGTTTGGTCAGTAAGTTTTGTAACTTATTTTTAAAATCTGTCCAGTCAGTGGATTCTGTAACTTATTTTTAAAATCTGTCCAGTCAGTGGATTCTGTAATTTATTTTTAAAATCTGTCTAATCAGAGAGTTCTGTAACTTATTTTGACAATTTGTTTGGTCAGTGAGTTCTGTAACATATTTTTAAAATCTGTTTGGTCAGTGAGCTCTATTACTTATTTTTAAAATCTGTCCAGTCAGTGAGTTCTGTAACTTATTTTAAAAATCGGTATGGTCAGTGAGTTCTGTAGTTTATTTTTAAAATTTGTCCAATCAGTGAGTTCTGTAAATTATTTCTAAAATATCTTTGGTCAGTGAGTTCTAAAGCTTATTTTTAAAATCTGTCCAGTCAGTGAGTTCTGTAACTTATTTTTTAAATCTGTCCAGTCAGTGAGTTCCGTAACTTATTTTTTAAACCTGTCTACATTAATGATTAACTAGAAACCATGAAAAATTAGTTCAAAATGACTTAAAGGTCCCAAGAAGAGTAAATGTACTTGTCCACTACTTTAAAACATATGCTTCATGAGAATGATTACATAACATAGGTTTCTATATCAGGGGATATATTTGAGCTAGAGAAACCAAAAATCAGGTGTAAACTAGATCATAATGCTTGTTCCTGTAATGTCTTCAATTCTTATTAAGCTTACTGCAAATGTAAACATAATATTTTTTTATAAAGTCCATTCTTTTTAAACATTTAACAACATGAAAATATGTACTGATACCTGAGGATCATCATTCAGGGCATCTTCCAAGTGCAATTTTTCTGGGCCAGGCATATTGCTTGTAGGAAACTGTGCAGAAGTAAAGCAAATTATAATGTAATAAACAAGATCAATGACTGTCTATACACATCAAAACATATATACAGAATACAATATATATATATATATATATATATATACACACACACATATATATATCAAAATATGCATTACAGGTACTTATGACACCAAAGTATCACTGCTTCTATTACACACAATAGGTCATAGAACAAGTGTATCTTACATTTTCAATACATATAAATAGTTGGTGAGGGTGGATTTTAATACCTTTAACAGAAAAGTAATGATTCCAACAATGAATACCAAATTTACAAGTATAGATACAATGCACATGTACAACGGTCATGTAGTTGTTGTATGGTTATAGAAGGAAGTGCAGCTCAAATGTTAATGATTTTTTGAGGATAAAGAAAACCACATTTCTTGTGTTCTACATCCTTTCATTCCACAAGTAGTGGTATCTGTAAATATCCTTGAAAAGATCACTATTAACTTCAGAAAAAAAAGATCCTTTAACACCTTCTACACTTTTCGTAGAAACAAATGTATTCAAATATAACTTGATATAATTATCATTTTAGTTACAGTAAGTTTCAGAGGCATCCATTTTAAATAACTGCTAGTTAAAGAGCTTGACCTGTACATAGTGTCATAGGAAGATTCATTTTAAAGAACTCTAGCAAAAGTGCTTGACCTGTACAGTGTCATAGGCATATCCATTAAAGAAGCACATCTTTCCTTCATCAGAAAAACCAGGAAAGGCTTGTAAAAAACTTTATACTTTATTCTTATGTAATAAACAAAGACATAATAACTTGCTCTCTTGAAACAGTTGTTTAATAATAAATGCTGATTCAATAATTTTTACATTCCTCTGCAACTTTAAAACTTAGTGACAGCCTTGCTGTTTGCATATTCACAATATTCTGTGTATATGTTGTTTCCTTTTCCTACTATATGTGGTGTATGTGTACTTGTTGTGAGGAATAATCTTTTTTAAGGATGTACCTCAAAAGCAAAAAATGCATGTATCATAGAGTATCATAGCTACACAAAAACATGGTACTTCTACATCTTGATTCACATTTTGTTTTATAACAGAAATGTAAAAATCACCTTAATGTAACTTAATATCTATACACTACCAAGGTATTGTTGATACCCATAAATTATGTCTACCTTTCAACTAACAGCTAGAAGAATGACCAATAATGTAAAAAAGAGAAAGATGATTCTCTAAAAGAAATATGCTCATACGTCAGTAGTTAGGACTATTTTACTTATGACTTGAATGATAGAAAGGGTGTGGATTTGGCATATTTAAATTTTCTAAAAGCTTTTGATACAAAGAACTTGAGATTAACATGTTCATGACATCGTGCGTTACTGGTGGTACATTTGCACATTTTCTGTTGTATGTTGCGAGCCACCCATAAGATATAATTGTACTTCATCTCTCCAAAGTCCTATATGAAAGCATATAATTTGTACGAACAGTTATAATAATGCTGCACTTTCCATCATGTACCACTGATGGAGCACTGATGCCGTGTTGAAAGAAAAACTGAAATAAAACAAATTTACATGATTAAATCACTTTTTATTTTAAAATTACATCGAGAAACTGGCATTAAAGTTTCCATTGTGAGTAACTGAAGCAAAAAAACAAACTAATTGAGACTTCTTTCATAAATAAAAGCTTATGAAAACTGTAATATAATTAGGATAGAAATGAAATAAAATTGTCATAGTAAGTACGTAGAGCAAAAAACTAATTAGACATTTTTTTTGTAGAAAGCCTCTTAAGAGAATTTGAAAAAAAGTTAGACAATGAATATTTGAATTCATTCTAATTTTCATTGAAGCGCTATAAGCACATTGTAATCTTCCCATCACAATTCTTGAAAAACTTTCACCCACAGAAGAGATAATTTTATCTGATGTCCCTTTTTTACAATGATAAAATTGTGAAATTACTCAAGAAAAAAAATTAAAAATTATGATCATTTGATTATTAATATTTAAATCATAGTGTGCACCACCAGAGGTACATGACAGCCAAAGCTTAAATGGGTAAAGACAGGATGTCATGTACTACTGATGGTACACTCAAGAGAAAGCTGTGATTGCAGTCATTCTGTCATAAAATGTAATATAAAGCCATAAAAGTAGCTGTATCTAAGCAGAGCTCACAATGAGGCTTTACATTCCTATTGCAAAATTAGAAAAATCACTTATACCATGAATGTGTTAACTAAGAAAATCACATCTAGACCTTATTTGTTACTTCAGTTCTGAATGTATTATTAATTGTTCTGATGACTCTGTAGTCCTAGGTCTAGACCTTATATGTTACTTCAGTTCTGAATGCATTATTAATTGTTCTGATGACTCTGTAGTCCTAGGTCTAGACCTTATATGTTACTTCAGTTCTGAATGTATTATTAATTGTTCTGATGAGCTCTGTAGTCCTAGGTCTAGACCTTATATGTTACTTCAGTTCTGAATGTATTATTAATTGTTCTGATGAGCTCTGTAGTCCTAGGTTCTAGACCTTATATGTTACTTCAGTTCTGAATGTATTATTAATTGTTCTGATGAGCTCTGTAGTCCTAGGTCTAGACCTTATATGTTACTTCAGTTCTGAATGTATTATTAATTGTTCTGATGAGCTCTGTAGTCCTAGTTCTAGCCTTATATGTTACTTCAGTTCTGTAATGTATTATTAATTGTT